TTGAGCCCTATTTTCAGCCAATTCCATTGTTCCAGTTGACCAAACTCATAGCTATTTCTTTAGAACTCCATTTTATCTATCAGCTGAGTACAAGAAACCTCCCATTTACTAATTTGGACTACCCAATATGGTGGTCAGAAATTGGCAATTTGGCCAATTTCACGCAAACTAAAAAAGATGCCAATTTCAAAATAGGGTCCAGAATAAACAAGGTAGACATTCGTGGCACTAAAATAACATATGCTCTGTTCATTAGTCACATCTCTAGGCCCCTCTTATATTATTATTGCTTTCTATTTTGATTTTTTATTCATACCAAAAAATACAAAATTTACTGTTATGCAGACTACTGTATTATTGTAAAAATGGTATAAATAATATCAGTGCACTAGTGAAAGAATATTAGACTCCCCAGTTGACATGTATTGGACGTGTGGTGTGATTTATTTACTCCTGAACATTGGTAAAAATCGAACATTTCCGCTACTTTGAGCTCAGTTTCAAGGTCGTTTTCATCGTCAAAGTAATGAAAATCATCTCTATTTCTGTAATATGTTTTCAATTTTATCACCTAAGACCATGAAAACGCGAATACAACGATAAATACTATACGAAAATACACCTCAAAGTTGGCGTTTTATTCCAAAAAAACGATCAGTTTTTTTTTTCTCATTACGCAATGTGTGCTGCAGGATTTTTTTTATGTGGTGCACACTGGCCACACAGACCCATTCTCTCACATGTGGGCCTACCAGCTTTCTCCCGCTTGATTTGAAGCCGCTAAAATTTTTTTTTTTTTTTTCAACAAGTCGGCCGTCTCCCACCGAGGCAGGGTGACCCAAAAAAGAAAGAAAATCCCCAAAAAGAAAATACTTTCATCATCATTCAACACTTTCACCACACTCGCACATTATCACTGTTTTTGAAGAGGTGCTCAGAATACAACAGTTTAGAAGAATACACATATAAAGATACACAACATATCCCTCCAAACTGCCAATATCCCAAACCCCTCCTTTAAAGTGCAGGCATTGTACTTCCCATTTCCAGGACTCAAGTCCGACTATATGAAAATAACCGGTTTCCCTGAATCCCTTCACTAAATATTACCCTGCTCACACTCCAACAGATCGTCAGGTCCCAAGTACCATTCGTCTCCATTCACTCCTATCTAACACGCTCACGCACGCTTGCTGGAAGTCCAAGCCCCTTGCCCACAAAACCTCCTTTACCCCCCTCTCTCCAACCCTTTCGAGGATGACCCCTACCCCGTCTTCCTTCCCCTATAGATTTATATGCTTTCCATGTCATTCTACTTTGATCCATTCTCTCTAAATGACCAAACCACCTCAACAACCCCTCTTCTGCCCTCTGACTAATACTTTTATTAACTCCACACCTTTTCCTAATTTCCACACTCCGAATTTTCTGCATAATATTTACACCACACATTGCCCTTAAACAGGACATCTCCACTGCCTCCAACCGTCTCCTCGCTGCTGCATTTACCACCCAAGCTTCACACCCATATAAGAGTGTTGGTACTACTATACTTTCATACATTCCCTTCTTTGCCTCCATAGATAACATTTTTTGACTCCACATATACCTCAACGCACCACTCACCTTTTTTCCCTCATCAATTCTATGATTAACCTCATCCTTCATAAATCCATCCTCCGACACGTCAACTCCCAAGTATCTGAAAACATTCACTTCTTCCATACTCCTCCTCCCCAATTTGATATCCAATTTTTCTTTATCTAAATCATTTGACACCCTCATCACCTTACTCTTTTCTATGTTCACTTTCAACTTTCTACCTTTACACACATTCCCAAACTCATCCACTAACCTTTGCAATTTTTCTTTAGAATCTTCCATAAGCACAGTATCATCAGCAAAAAGTAACTGTGTCAATTCCCATTTTGAATTTGATTCCCCAAAATTTAATCCTACCCCTCTCCCGAACACCCTAGCATTTACTTCCTTTACAACCCCATCTATAAATATATTTAAACAACCATGGTGACATTACACATCCCTGTCTAAGACCTACTTTTACCGGGAAGTAGTCTCCCTCTCTTCTACACACCCTAACCTGAGCCTCACTATCCTCATAAAAACTCTTTACAGCATTTAATAACTTACCACCTATTCCATATACATACTTGCAACATCTGCCACATTGCTCCTCTATCCTCTATCATATGCCTTTTCTAAAATCCATAAATGCAATAGAAACTTCCCTACCTTTATCTAAATACTGTTCACATATATGCTTCAATGTAAACACTTGATCTACACATCCCCTACCCACTCTGAAACCTCCTTGCTCATCCGCAATCCTACATTCTGTCTTACCTCTAATTCTTTCAATTATAACCCTACCGTACACTTTTCCTGGTATACTCAGTAAGCTTATTCCTCTATAATTTTTACAGTCTCTTTTGTCCCCTTTCCCTTTATATAAAAGGACTATACATGCTCTCCGCCAATCCCTAGGTACCTTCCCCTCTTTCATACATTTATTAAACAAAAGTACCAACCACTCCAACACTATATTCCCCCCTGCTTTTAACATTTCTGTGATGATCCCATCAGTTCCAGCTGCTTTACCCCCTTTCATTTTACGTAATGCCTCACGTACCTCCCCCACACTTACATTCTGCTCTTCTTCACTCCTAAAAGATGGTATACCTCCCTGACCAGTGCATGAATTTACTGCCTCTGTTTCTTCCTTAACATTTAAAAGTTCCTCAAAATATTCTCGCCATCTACCTAATACCTCCATCTCCCCATCTACTAACTCCCCTACTCTGTTTTTAACTGACAAATCCATACTTTCCCTAGGCTTTCTTAACTTGTTTAACTCACTCCAAAATTTTTTCTTATTTTCATTAAAATTTCTTGACAGTGCCTCTCCCACTCTATCATCTGCTCTCCTTTTGCACTCTCTCACCACTCTCTTTACCTTTCTTTTACTCTCCATATACTCTGCTCTTCTTATAACACTTCTGCTTTGTAAAAACCTCTCATAAGCTAACTTTTTCTCTTTTATCACACCCTTTACTTCATCATTCCACCAATCACTCCTCTTTCCTCCTGCCCCCACCCTCCTATAACCACAAACTTCTGCCCCACATTCTAATACTGCATTTTTAAAACTATTCCAACCCTCTTCAACCCCCCCCCCCACTACTCATCTTTGCACTAGCCCACCTTTCTGCCAATAGTCGCTTATATCTCACCCGAACTTCCTCCTCCCTTAGTTTATACACTTTCACCTCCCTCTTATTTGTTGTTGCCACCTTCCTCTTTTCCCATCTACCTCTTACTCTAACTGTAGCTACAACTAAATAATGATCCGATATATCAGTTGCCCCTCTATAAACATGTACATCCTGGAGCCTACCCATCAACCTTTTATCCACCAATACATAATCTAATAAACTACTTTCATTACGTGCTACATCATACCTTGTATATTTATTTATCCTCTTTTTTCATAAAATATGTATTACTTATTACCAAATCTCTTTCTACACATAGCTCAATTAAAGGCTCCCCATTTACATTTACCCCTGGCACCCCAAATTTACCTACTACTCCCTCCATAACATTTTTACCCACTTTAGCATTGAAATCCCCAACCACCATTACTCTCACACTTGATTCAAAACTCCCCACGCATTCACTCAACATTTCCCAAAATCTCTCTCTCTCCTCTACACTTCTCTCTTCTCCAGGTGCATACACGCTTATTATAACCCACTTTTCACATCCAATCTTTATTTTACTCCACATAATCCTTGAATTAATACATTTATAGTCCCTCTTTTCCTGCCATAGCTTATCCTTCAACATTATTGCTACTCCTTCTTTAGCTCTAACTCTATTTGAAACCCCTGACCTAATCCCATTTATTCCTCTCCACTGAAACTCTCCCACCCCCTTCAGCTTTGTTTCACTTAAAGCCAGGACATCCAGCTTCTTCTCATTCATAACATCCACAATCATCTCTTTCTTATCTGCACAACATCCACGCACATTCAGACTTCCCACTTTGACAATTTTCTTCTTATTCTTTTTAGTAATCTTTACAGGAAAAGGGGTTACTAGCCCATTGTTCCCGGCATTTTAGTTGACTTTTACAACACGCATGGCTTACGGAGGAAAGATTCTTATTCCAATTCCCCATGGAATTATTGAGTATATATATATAGAGAATTATTGAGTAGATATATATAGAGAATTATTGAGTATATATATATAGAGAATTATTGAGTATATATACGTCAGAAACATTGGCTTGTAAGACATATTTATACGTCGAAAACAGTCAAAGGGTTAAATACTGCTGACTTCTATGGATATAAAACATGTTTCTCTTTGTCACTTACAAAGAAAATAATCTTATTCCCCACTTTCAAACACTACACAGTAAACACTTGCTGCTGTGTTGCAATATTAATTATTTCAGAAAATGGTGGAGAAAGAGAGTATATATTTACATGCAGAGTGAGCCATAAGCCTGAAAACTGCAATTTTTTTTTTCATGGAACACTAATAGGGGTAAAAAGTAAATGTTAAATACAGAGTTAGTGGATTAAAGCTCTGAAAATATCACTGGGCAATGATTGGTGGGGTTTGCTTTGCTGTATGAGCAAAGAATAGAATACAATACTGGTTTTCCCTTGCTTTATGCAGATTCACTCTTATGTGATTCTGTGGGGGATACATTCACCATTTGTGATCAGTGCAGTTTACAAAATGTACTGAAGACTTATTTTTTATGCAAAATTAATTATGATGGCCTGATTGAGCTTAGTGCAGCTCCCATGTGCCTGGACCACACCTACAGAATAAAGCCAGGGACACCTGTATTCTGTGTAAAAGGAACAATCATTCACTACCAGGAATTGTATAAGCAACTGTCACAAAAATTTTCCTGTAAAGAATGCAAACACAGTACTGTAATTCTGTACCAGGCAACTCACCCAAATGAGTCTGTAGCTGGTGTGGATTCCAAATTGAATTCTGCTACCGGAACCCCTTGAGCTGCAACTTGTGGAGCAAACATAGCAGCAGGATACACTACTGATGATGTTCCCACCACCAAACAGAGATCACATGCTTTTAGCTCTTCGTCTGTGTGTATTCATGGAGAAACAACTTAAGAGAATACATTTTATGCACCAGAATTATTTAAATTATGTAATTTATCACACATTTGTAATTTGAATCATATGACCCTAAGCAACATACACCCAGGGAAGTGCGAGACTTATGGAGAAATTGCCACTTTGTATATTGCTTGTTTGACAGAATTTGTAGATCATTATACAGTACAATCATCCCAACAGATTCATAGGGAATTACATTCCTAAAGGTCCCATGAAGGTACAAACCATGCAAGATTACAGTAAATGAAAATTACAGTAAATGAACAAATATTTTTTCAGATTTGGGTTCATATCTTTGTAATATAACCTAGTTAAATTTGACATTTTTAAGAAATAATTACCAGAATAAGAAGAGATTTTGATGTGAAAAAGCCATCAAGACAAAAAAACAAATACTTGTAATTAAATCTATCTGATGGTTGCTCAACAATAAAAATGTTGGATAGACAAAATCCATGAATACTTAAGCTGGTAAATTTGTAGGCACAACTGTATATGAAAATTAGTACAGTAGACCGTCATTTAACACGAGTTTAACATGAGAACATAAGAAAGGAGGAACACTGCAGCAGGCCTGTTGGCCCATACTAGGCAGGTCCTTTACAATCCTTCCCACTAACAAAATATTTCCCCAACTCAATTTTCAATGCTACCCAAGAAATAAGTTTTGATGATTCTATTTACTCATTATGCCAGTCCCACTCAAATCCAACCCCTCTCACTCCTGTATTTATCTAACCTAAATTTGAAACTACCCAACATTTTAGCTTCAACAACCCTATTAGGCAGACTATTCCACTCATCAACTACCGTATTTCCAAACCGATACTTTCCTATATCCTTTCAAAATCTAAACTTATCTAATTTGAATCCATTATTGCAAGTTCTTTCTTGGAGAGATATCCCCAAGACCTTATTTATATCCCCTTTGTTAATACTCAAGTTTTGGTTATAGCACGACTAAAGAATTGCGGCACAATTTTATACAACACTTCATAAAATTAACTTAACACAGTTCAGTCTGCGACGGGAATAAATTTTGAGCACGCGGTTGATATCCCCTGCCACCCTCACCACCCTCCCAGCCCAGTACGTGTGTTGGATAAATCTCTGCTAGGAGCTCACTGTGTTTGTTTAGATACATATTTTAATTGCCATATCTTAAGTCTGCCAAGCAATCCAGCCAAGCATCCAGCAATCATGGCACCTACTGGGTGCCATGATTGCTGGATGTGACTCCACTGTAAAAGTTGTATTTTTACCTCCAAATACAACCTCCCTAATTCAACCACTGGATCGGGGAGTTATTAAGTCATTCAAGTGTAACTACACAAAGAAAGTTATGAAAAACTAGTTGCATCAATGGACTCTGACTCCAACTTGGTAGTAACAAGCTTCTGGAAAAAATTTAACATTGCAGATGCCATCAGCTATGCTAGAAGTGCATGAAATAAAGTTCCCCCAGTCAACATTAAATGCAGACTGGGAAAAGTTATGGTCTTCTGTAGTTAATTCTTTGACTAATTTTCCCTTGCTTGAGAGTCAGGTTCAGGAAATTGTTCAGCTGGCAAGATTACCAGGTGATGGTTTTGAAGATATGAATGAAGATGTGAATGAGCGCTTAGATGATGATGATGAAGACAGGAGTCCAGAGGAAATGTTGGGCAGAGCTCGATGCACAGATACAAGGGAGCCAGATGACAAAAGATGAAGAAGAACCTGAAGAAAAACAGTTAACACTGCAGCAGTTACGTGAGGAGTTCCATAATGGTAAAGTTACGGACTTTTTCACTGAAGAGGACCCTGACAAATCTAGAAGCAGTGTTTTGAAACAGGGTCTGGACCAACTGATGATGCCTTACCGTCAGCTATATAATGTACTGCAGGGTAAAAGAGCCCAGAGATCAATTGCAGAATTTATGCACATTCCAGTACAACCATCGACTTCAGTACCAGAACCTCTACCATCTACTTCTGCCGACAGCCAACAACCATCCACCTCAGCCCAGTAGGGCCACACCATGCATATCCACTCTCTTTGCAATCATCCACAAACATCATTACCCACAATTTAAGGTAAGAAATACTATTATTTCTATTGCATTTGTAGTCTTAAGCAGTAATATATCACGACGATGAACTACAATTACACATGCACTTTTATTTTTGTAAGATCTGTTGATCTATAAAAAGTTGTTTGGCTTTTTGGGGGGCTCTCAGGAACATCACCCTATTTTTCCCACAAGTTCTTCAGTTCATCTAACACGTTTTTTTTACCTAACACGGAGTTTTCAGGAACATAACTACCGTGTTAAATGACGGTCTACTGTACATTTTATATCTGCACATTAATACCTTATATAAGAGAGATTTTAGCCTCAGTGTTAAGTGGTAATCCTGGGTGCTGCTGGGCAGCTTGACTATTAAATGAATGGTATACAATACCGACAAGATGAGGAATTAGACATGTGCAACATCTGGATATTTTTATTTGTAGACATTTTGCCAACCAGTGACTTTATTAATACAAGGACATAATGTGAAGAATGTAGAATAATTACATACAAAAGATGAAGTAATCAGTCCCTCAGCCTTGGAGTTCTTGAAGAGCACTGAAGTCTTGAAGAATCTGAAGCTTGGCATCTACTGCACGTCCCTCACCTGATGTTGGCATATAAGTGCCAAGCTCCATGCCTGTGCTTCAGATTCTTCAAGACTCTGATGCTTTTCACCAACTTCAAGGCTGAGGAGCTGATTACCTCGTCTTTTGTATGTAATTCTACATTCTTCACATGATGTCCTCGTATTGATAAAGCCACTGGTTGGCAAAACGTCTACAAATAGATACCTAGATGTTGCATGTGTGTCTAAGTCTTCAACTTAAGAACAGTACTAGGATGACGGAGGTAATATTTTGAGCTAATATACATATGTGATTAAGAAAGGAAGGTAGTGATTTCATGCAATGGGCAGGGAAGTAAAACATATTATAGGAGTAACCCTAAGAGTTTAGTGATACCCCATGAATACAATAATTCTAATATATGTGTATTGTATATTCATGGGGAAGTGCTCATACAGTGCCTGAAAAATAGGAGGTAATCAAGTTTTATCCAAAAAGGGGAGGGTAGCTCCAATTCCTTAGCTCAAGAGCTCTTCACCAGCATCAAGGCTTGCCCACTGAAGGGATCATAAGCTCTTAACCAGCATCAAGGCTTGCCCACTGAAGGGATCATATCAACTAACCTGCCCTGTGCAACACGTAAGGATCAAGACCTTCTCCAAACCATACCACATCGGGACGCAAAAGACCTGAGCACGCTGTACATCTTGGAAGTTCTGATTCTGGAATTCTTGCATCTTCTGCCTTTGGGTCTGGGGCACTGAAAGAAACAATTATTGCTTTCCTACTAGTCAAAAAAAATATATATACAGGACATTATTATGTTTATACAATACATGCTTCAATGATATTAGTGTTATATCCTTGTGGGTGAGTGCTCAACCCAAAGGAGTTATACAGCACCTCAGGGAATGGAAGGTATTCTAGCTCAATTCGAGGAACTGGAGAACAGGTCCAATTCCATACATCAACAGCTCCTCACCACAATCAAGGAACCTCCCACAAAGGGACATTATTTATATAAAGCATCTATACCCTTGATATAATAAGCTCTCTGGCAAGCTTCCAAGTCTTGGGGTAAACAACCTCCAAATAATGATATTGTTTTAATGCCCAATGGTCCTTCAAGGTGCACTTTAAGCTTTTTTGTGAATACTGTATAATAATAACAACGAAGGATCATTTTTGGCTCTCACATTATTATTATATTTAGGAGGAAGTACTAAATCTTTACGGGGGTCATATTGTGCCTGGGGTATGGGGGGCAATTAGGGTGGAAGCAAGTAAGGGAAGGTCAGGGTCAATTCCTTTAATCAGGTGCCCCTTACCAGCATCAAGAAACCTCCTTGGAGGGGTTGGCCCTCACATACGTGAATCAAACTGTACAGTATGGGAATATGGAGTGCCTAGGGTCCATCCACATTCTCCATATATAGTTTTAAAAGCAGGTACAATAAGGCCCACAAGACAAGGAGGGAGTGAATCTAGTAACTGATCAAAAGTTACTGGTGTAATTTGAATATAAGGAGAGCCTGTTTAAAGAATTATGAACACAAAAATATTCACTGGAATCTCAAAGAAAAAGAACCTTAAAAGATTTCTGGAGCAACCATTTTATAGTATATCACTTTTTTTTTTTTTTTATTATTATTGTCACACTGGCCGATTCCCACCAAGGCAGGGTGGCCCGAAAAAGAAAAACTTTCACCATCATTCACTCCATCACTGTCTTGCCAGAAGGGTGCTTTACACTACAGTTTTTAAACTGCAACATTAACACCCCTCCTTCAGAGTGCAGGCACTGTACTTCCCATCTCCAGGACTCAAGTCCGGCCTGCCGGTTTCCCTGAACCCCTTCATAAATGTTAGTTTGCTCACACTCCAACAGCACGTCAAGTATTAAAAACCATTCGTCTCCATTCACTCCTATCAAACACGCTCACGCATGCCTGCTGGAAGTCCAAGCCCCTCGCACACAAAACCTCCTTTACCCCCTCCCTCCAACCTTTCTTAGGCCTACCCCTACCCCGCCTTCCTTCCACTACAGACTGATACACTCTTGAAGTCATTCTGTTTTGCTCCATTCTCTCTACATGTCCGAACCACCTCAACAACCCTTCCTCAGCCCTCTGGACAACAGTTTTGGTAATCCCGCACCTCCTCCTAACTTCCAAACTACGAATTCTCTGCATTATATTCACACCACACATTGCCCTCAGACATGACATCTCCACTGCCTCCAGCCTTCTCCTCGCTGCAACATTCATCACCCATGCTTCACACCCATATAAGAGCGTTGGTAAAACTATACTCTCATACATTCCCTCTTTGCCTCCAAGGACAAAGTTCTTTGTCTCCACAGACTCCTAAGTGCACCACTCACTCTTTTCCCCTCATCAATTCTATGATTCACCTCATCTTTCACAGACCCATCCGCTGACACGTCCACTCCCAATATCTGAATACATTCACCTCCTCCATACTCTCTCCCTCCAATCTGATATTCAATCTTTCATCACCTAATCTTTTTGTTATCCTCATAACCTTACTCTTTCCTGTATTCACCTTTAATTTTCTTCTTTGCACACCCTACCAAATTCATCCACCAATCTCTGCAACTTCTCTTCAGAATCTCCCAAGAGCACAGTGTCATCAGCAAAGAGCAGCTGTGACAACTCCCCACTTTGTGTGTGATTCTTTATCTTTTAACTCCACGCCTCTTGCCAAGACCCTCACATTTACTTCTCTTACAACCCCATCTATAAATATATTAAACAACCACGGTGACATCACACATCCTTGTCTAAGGCCTACTTTTACTGGGAAATAATTTCCCCCTTTCCTACATACTCTAACTTGAGCCTCACTATCCTCGTAAAAACTCTTCACTGCTTTTAGTAACCTACCTCCTACACCATACACTTGCAACATCTGCCACATTGCCCCCCTATCCACCCTGTCATACGCCTTTTCCAAATCCATAAATGCCACAAAGACCTCTTTAGCCTTATCTAAATACTGTTCACTTATATGTTTCACTGTAAACACCTGGTCCACACACCCCCTACCTTTCCTAAAACCTCCTTGTTCATCTGCTATCCTATTCTCCGTCTTACTCTTAATTCTTTCAATAATAACTCTACCATACACTTTACCAGGTATACTCAGCAGACTTATCCCCCTATAATTTTTGCACTCTCTTTTATCCCCTTTGCCTTTATACAAAGGAACTATGCATGCTCTCTGCCAATCCCTAGGTACCTTACCCTCTTCCATACATTTATTAAATAATTGCACCAACCACTCCAAAACTATATCCCCACCTGCTTTTAACATTTCTATCTTTATCCCATCAATCCCGGCTGCCTTACCCCCTTTCATTTTACCTACTGCCTCACGAACTTCCCCCACACTCACAACTGGCTCTTCCTCACTCCTACAAGATGTTATTCCTCCTTGTCCTATACACGAAATCACAGCTTCCCTATCTTCATCAACATTTAACAATTCCTCAAAATATTCCCTCCATCTTCCCAATACCTCTAACTCTCCATTTAATAACTCTCCTCTCCTATTTTTAACTGACAAATCCATTTGTTCTCTAGGCTTTCTTAGCTTGTTAATCTCACTCCAAAACTTTTTCTTATTTTCAACAAAATTTGTTGATAACATCTCACCCACTCTCTCATTTGCTCTCTTTTTACATTGCTTCACCACTCTCTTAACCTCTCTTTTTTTTCTCCATATACTCTTCCCTCCTTGCATCACTTCTACTTTGTAAAAACTTCTCATATGCTAACTTTTTATCCCTTACTACTCTCTTTACATCATCATTCCACCAATCGCTCCTCTTCCCTCCTGCACCCACTTTCCTGTAACCACAAACTTCTGCTGAACACTCTAACACTACATTTTTAAACCTACCCCATACCTCTTGACCCATTGCCTATGCTCTCATCCCATCTATCCTCCAATAGCTGTTTATATCTTAAACCCTAACTGCCTCCTCTTTTAGTTTATAAAACTTCACCTCTCTCTTCCCTGATGCTCTATTCTCCTTGTATCCATCTACCTTTTACTCTCAGTGTAGCTACAACTAGAAAGTGATCTGATATATCTGTGGCCCCTCTATAAACATGTACATCCTGAAGTCTACTCAACAGTCTTTTATCTACCAATACATAATCCAACAAACTACTGTCATTTTGCCCTACATCATATCTTGTATACTTATTTATCCTCTTTTTTCTTAAAATATGTATTACCTATAACTAAACCCCTTTCTATACAAAGTTCAATCAAAGGGCTCCCATTATCATTTACACCTGGCACCCCAAACTTACCTACCACACCCTCTCTAAAAGTTTCTCCTACTTTAGCATTCATGTCCCCTACCACAATTACTCTCTCACTTGGTTCAAAGGCTCCTATACATTCACTTAACATCTCCCAAAATCTCTCTCTCTCCTCTGCATTCCTCTCTTCTCCAGGTGCATACACGCTTATTATGACCCACCTCTTGCATCCAACCTTTACTTTAATCCACATAATTCTTGAATTTACACATTCATATTCTCTTTTCTCCTTCCATAACTGATCATTCAACATTACTGCTACCCCTTCCTTTGCTCTAACTCTCTCAGATACTCCAGATTTAATCCCATTTATTTCCCCCCACTGAAACTCCCCTACCCCCTTCAGCTTTGTTTCGCTTAGGGCCAGGACATCCAACTTCTTTTCATTCATAACATCAGCAATCATCTGTTTCTTGTCATCCACACTACATCCAAGCACATTTAAGCATCCCAGTTTTATAAAGTTTTTCTTCTTCTCTTTTTTTGTAAATGTCTACAGGAGAAGGGGTTACTAGCCCATTGCTCCTGGCATTTTAGTCGCCTCATACGACACGCATGGCTTACGGAGGAAAGATTCTTTTCCACTTCCCCATGGACAATAGAAGAAATAAAGAAGAACAAGAGCTATTTAGAAAAAGGAGAAAAACCTAGATGTATATATATATGCATGTGCGTGTCTGTGAAGTGTAAGTAGGAGTAGCAAGATATCCCTGTTATCTAGCGTGTTTATGAGACAGAAAAAGAAACCAGCAATGTATATCACTTATACATTGATATCAAAGAAGAAAAGGCTAAAAGAATAAGAACATACCCTTTTCCACTGAGTGCAGGGCAAATGGGGCTGTCAGTATTGGCACATACTTCCCCACATTGTGTACACTGAGTTCGGAACAGTGACCCATGTAATTCTATGACATTCTTTGATCCAGCTTTAAAATGTAATTCATCAATATTTTGTGTGATAACCACTAGATGGCGCCCCTCTGCGGCAAGACGCTCCTCTGCTTGTGCTAATGCAAAATGGGCCTGAAATGGCATAACAATTTTTTTTATATATACAGTGGAACCTCAGTTTTCGTATGCTCTAGTTGGAGAAAATTCTCTATAAAACGTATTTTTGTTAATATTTTTGGGTGTCTGGAACGGAACCAATTAATTCATTCCAGACACCCAAAAATATTAACAAAAATACATTTTATAGAGAATTTTCTCCAACTAGAGCATACAAAAACCAAGGTCCCACTGTATGTACATGTAAGTAACACTTACAGCCATGAATGGTCATAAATAATGTTATAACAATATCTAATCTCAGCACTAGTCTATAAAGTGCAAGATCGGTATTCATTTAAATTCAGTTAGTTTTAAGTATTAGAAAATAAATTCAGTGGGTTGACAGACTTATGAGATCAAGACACAATAGGCTTATTTCCTAACATTTTGTATTTAGACTTAATAAAAGCACTTCTGACAATAATAAAAATGCTTGACACGGTTTATTCAGCACTTGAAAGAAAAGGGTATTTTATTGGACTCATTAATTTGAAAGGCTTTTGATACTGCTCTTTAACATATTATTTTACTGAAACTAAATTACTATGGACCCAAAGATCTCTTTTACTGTACATGTACTTTCAATCATACCCCAGTAACAGACAACAGCATATAACCCTAAATGACACTTTAAGTATTCCTTTACCAGTGAATTTTAAGTGTCTCCCCAAGGCAGCATTCTGGGTCCTTTCTTTTCTTCAACTATGTACATCAATGACCAGCCAAATGCTACCTAACACCTGAAACTAGGACCCATACATGTACCCTTTTGAAAAATGGTATGGTGATACCAACAAGAAATGGAAAAAGACACTTATGTACAGTTCTAGACATTTATTTGAGAAGACAATGTATATAGGGAATAAAACTGCTAAACCATCTTTGTAACACTTATGTACCTAGTTTAAACAATATTTATTGATTATTTACATATTTATTTATCTACTTTAACCAATATTATTTTAATCAACTATTGTACTGCCCAAGGTAAGCTACACAAAAGATAAATATGTATTTATTGTACAATTAGCTCACAGGATTAGGATCCTTGGTGGACATGACCTCCCGACGGTAATGGTAAAACTCCCACACTAACGAAGGATTCCGTCTAAATGCTCCAGGACTTGCCAAGTCTTGAGCCTGCCACGTACGCCAGAAACCACCAGCACCCCGAAAAGTTGGAACTCCTGACTCTGCTGAAACTCCTGCACCTGAAAAAAGTCAAAACATATGATAAATTAGACATCATAAAACTAAAATACCACATTAAATTTTAAAGTGCCAAGTACAGTACACAAAATTCATGAACACTTCCAATAAATTGTAGTGCCCAGAGCAATCATGCTTGCAATATTTTGACTTTCTTTATAAATGAAGATAAAAAAAAGATGAAGATATGTTTGTAGGTCTGCTAAATTAAAATTTAAAGCTTGTATTCAGCTCATTTATAAAAATAAAAAAACCAGGTAAGCACTCAAAAATTTCCTATTACAGTATGCCCCCCCCCCCCACTAATAGCACTCTGTTTCTCTCTCATTTACCCATACCTCACCAATAGAATTTATACTTGGAAATACTAAGTCATTTCGTCTGACTTTTTTGGGCTATCCTAGATAATTTACATATATGTTACTATGTATGATAACTCTACTTATGTGTACCTGTGACTAAATAAAAGTACATACCTCTGCTGACCATCTCAAACCAGTACAAACTCAAATTTCAGACAGAATGCCATACCCTAATTCAAATCCTAACACAAATGATTTACCTTGTATACCTGTATACCTTGTACATGTACTTGTAGAAATAAAGATATTATTATTATTTTTTTTTTTTTATCACACTGGCCAATTCCCACCAAGGCAGGGTGGCCTGAAAAAGAAAAACTTTCACCATCATTCACTCCATCACCGTCTTGCCAGAAGGGTGCTTTACACTACAGTTTTTAAACTGCAACATTAACACCCCTCCTTCAGAGTGCAGGCACTGTACTTCCCATCTCCAGGACTCAAGTCCGGCCTGCCGGTTTCCCTGAACCCCTTCATAAATGTTATTTTGCTCACACTCCAACAGCACGTCAAGTATTAAAAACCATTTGTCTCCATTCACTCCTATCAAACACGCTCACGCATGCCTGCTGGAAGTCCAAGCCCCTCGCACACAAAACCTCCTTTAACCCCCTCCCTCCAACCTTTCCTAGGCCTACCCTACCTACCCCGCCTTCCTTCCACTACAGACTGATACACTCTTGAAGTCATTCTGTTTGCTCCATTCTCTCTACATGTCCGAACCACCTCAACACCCTTCCTCAGCCCTCTGGACAACAGTTTTGGTAATCCCGCACCTCCTCCTAACTTCCAACACTACGAAGTCTCTGCATTATATTCACACCACACATTGCCCTCAGACATGACATCCCACTGCCTCCAGCCTTCTCCTCGCTGCAACATTCATCCACCCATGCTTCACACCCATATAAGAGCGTTGGTAAAACTAACTCTCATACATTCCCCTCTTTGCCTCCAAGGACAAAGTTCTTTGTCTCCACAGACTCCTAAGTGACACCACTCACTCTTTTCCCCTCGTCAATTCTATGATTCACCTCATCTTTCATAGACCCATCCGCTGACACGTCCACTCCCAAATATCTGAATACATTCACCTCCTCCATACTCTCTCCCTCCAATCTGATATTCAATCTTTCATCACCTAATCTTTTTGTTATCCTCATAACCTTACTCTTTCCTGTATTCACCTTTAATTTTCTTCTTTTGCACGCTGTATAGTCCTTGTGGCTTAGCGCTTCTTTTTGATTATAATAATAAAATCTTCTTTTGCACACCCTACCAAATTCATCCACCAATCTCTGCAACTTCTCTTCAGAATCTCCCAAGAGCACAGTGTCATCAGCAAAGAGCAGCTGTGACAACTCCCACTTTGTGTGTGATTCTTTATCTTTTAACTCCACGCCTCTTGCCAAGACCCTCGCATTTACTTCTCTTACAACCCCATCTATAAATATATTAAACAACCATGGTGACATCACACATCCTTGTCTAAGGCCTACTTTTACTGGGAAATAATTTCCTTCTTTCCTATGTACTCTAACTTGAGCCTCACTATCCTCGTAAAAACTCTTCACTGCTTTCAGTAACCTACCTCCTACACCATACACCTGCAACATCTGCCACATTGCCCCCCTATCCACCCTGTCATACGCCTTTTCCAAATCCATAAATGCCACAAAGACCTCTTTAGCCTTATCTAAATACTGTTCACTTATATGTTTCACTGTAAACACCTGGTCCACACACCCCCTACCTTTCCTAAAGCCTCCTTGTTCATCTGCTATCCTATTCTCAGTCTTACTTTAATTCTTTCAATAATAACTCTACCATACACTTTACCAGGTATAGTCAACAGACTTATCCCCTATAATTTTGCACTCTCTTTTGTCCCCTTTGCCTTTATACAAAGGAACTATGCATGCTCTCTGCCAATCCCTAGGTACCTTACCCTCTTCCATACATTTATTAAATAATTGCACCAACCACTCCAAAACTATATCCCCACCTGCTTTTAACATTTCTATCTTTATCCCATCAACCCCGGCTGCCTTACCCCCTTTCATTTTACCTACTGCCTCACGAACTTCCCCCACACTCACAACTGGCTCTTCCTCACTCCTACAAGATGTTATTCCTTCTTGCCCTATACACGAAATCACAGCTTCCCTATCTTCATCAACATTTAACAATTCCTAAAAATATTCCCTCCATCTTCCCAATACCTCTAACTCTCCATTTAATAACTCTCCTCTCCTATTTTTAACTGACAAATCCATTTGTTCTCTAGGCTTCCTTAACTTGTTAATCTCACTCCAAAACTTTTTCTTATTTTCAACAAAATTTGTTGATAACATCCCCCAAAAACCCCCCTATTTTGCTCTCTTTTACATTGCTTCACCCACTCTTTTAACCTCTCTCTTTTTTCTTACTCTTCCCCCTTTTGCATAAATTCTACTTTGAAAAAAATTTCTCATTTTGCAAAACTTTTTCTCCCTTACTACCCCTCTTTACTCATCTTTTTCCACCAATCGCTCCTTTTCCCCCCCCCACCCCATTTTTCCCCTTTGGTAACCCCCAAACTTCTGCTGAACAACCCCAAAACACTACTTTTTTAAAACCCAAAACCCCCCCAAAAACCTCTTCCCCCCCCCATTCCCTTATGCTCTCAAAAACCCCATTACCCCCAAATAGCTTTTTTATATTTTTCCCTAACTCCCCTCCCCCCCCCCCCCCCCCCCCCCCCCCCCCTTTTAGTTTAAAAACCCTTTCACCCCCCCTTTTTCCCTGATCCCTTCTTTTCCCTCCTTTTACCCCCTTCAAACCTTTTACTCTCAGTGTAGCTACAACTAAAAAGTGATCTGTTATCTGGGGCCCCCTATATAAACTTGAACATCCTGAAGTTATTTAAACTTTTTACCCCAAATACAAAATCCAAAAAAACTACTGTCATTTTGCCCTACATCATACCCTTTTATACTTATTTATCCTCTTTTTCTTGAAATATTATTACCTATAAAAAAAACCCCTTTTTTAAAACAAAGTTAAATTTAAAAGGGTCCCATTAAATTTACACCGGGCCCCCCCAAACTTACCTACCACACCCTCTTTTAAAAATTTTTCTCCTATTTAGCTTTCAGGTCCCCTACCAAAAATTTACTCTCTCCCCTTGGTTCAAAGGCTCCTTACATTCACTTAACATCCCCAAAAAATCTCTCTCTCTCCTTTGCATTCCTCTCTTTCCAGGTGCATACACGCTTATTATGCCCCATTCCCCGCACCCAAACCCTTTATTTTAAAAATCCACATAATTCTTGCATGTACCCTTTCATATTCTCTTTTCCCCTTCCCATAACTAAATTCTTTAAACATTACTGCTACCCCTTCCTTTGCCTACCTTTTCCAAAACCCTCCAAAATTTAAATTTCCCCTTTTAAATTTCCCCCCCCCAAAAACCCCCTTACCCCCTTCAGCTTTTTTTGCTGGGGCCAGGACACCCAAACTTCTTTTCATTCATAACATGGGAAATTTATCTTTTTCCTTGTCATCTGCCTACATCCCCCGCCCCATTCAAGCATCCCAGTTTTTAAAGTTTTTCTTCTTCTTTTTTTTTTAAGAAAATGTCTACGGGGAAAAGGGGGTTATTTAGCCCATTGCTCCCGGCATTTTATTTCCCTCATACACACGCATGGCTTACGGGGGAAAGATTTTTTTCCCCACTTCCCCATGGACAATAGAAGAAATAAAGAAAAAAAGACTATGTAGAAAAAGGAAAAAAACCCTAGATGAAATGTATATAATATGCATGGGGCATGTCTGTAAAGGTAAACCAAATGTTTTTGGGTAGCAAATATTCCCCTGTTATCTAGCGTGTTTATGAGACGGGAAAAAGAGACCAGCAATCCTACCATCATGAAAAAACATTTAAGGTTTCGTTTCATTGTCATTTGGGAGGAAAGGTATACTTCCTGGGGTGGTTTCTTCCCACCAACCTACTACCCGAAACAAACCAGACCTCAAACCAGTACAAAAACCCAAAATTTTAGGCAGAAGCCATAAACCCAATTCAAATTTCCCAACACAAAAGATTTACCTTGTAATTTCCTGTATAACCTTTTTTAAATTACTTGTAGAAATAAAAATTAATTATTTAATTTTTATTTTTTATTATTATTATTTAAACCCAAAACTGACTTTTTCGACCAAATTATGGGCAAAGTGTTGTTATAATCTTTTTTTTTAAAAAAAACCCGCCTTTTCCCACTGGAACAGGGGGACCTCCCCCCCCCCCCCCCAAAAAAAAAAAAAAAATAAAATAAAATTTAAAACCCGGAAAACTTTTTTCATCATTATTTATTCAAAAAGTTTAAAAATTTCCAAAAAAGGGGCAGATATCCAAATTTTTAAAAGATCCTCTGAATTTAAAATCCCCCCACTGTTTTGTTGCCCTTTACCGAAAAAATGTCCTACTTTTGGTAATATTTTCCTTTTGTAAAAAGAAATGTTCCCTTATTCCCCAGTGTAACATAGATAGTTTGTATTGTACTATTTAAAATAATGCCCGAGTTTTCCCCTGGAAGTGGACAATTATTAATTATAAATATTTATTATCATTTAAAATTTTTTTATTAATTTATTATAATAATTTTA